TCAACCAATTTTTGGCCATTAATATATTAAAATAAAATGTTCTTAAAAGTGTTCTGGCGTGAGATACAGAGTGTACATAAGGATTAAAAGGACTAATAACTAATAATTGATACTTTGAAAGAAGAAAAGGTCCAAAGAGGTAGGGGTGGTAGGCGGAGATGGGGAAAGGATAGAATCGAAAGGAAAAATTATGAGAAAAGAAAAAAATGGGAACAAAGTCTTTGTAAATAGGGAAGGGTGGAGGGGTGAAGGGCACACAGGTAATGGGGAAAAAATAAGAACCAAGATACATCATGTACAGGTATAAGCACCCAATGATAAATGTAAACATATTGTATACCTAAAATGTACCAATAAAAGAATTTAAGAAAAAAAGAAAAAAGTGTTCCAGACACATGGTTTAAAAATCAAGGCGTTCAAAAAGATTTGAAATGAAAAGCCATAATCCTCTGCCCTTTCTTTTCCCTATCTCATTCTGCAATTAAAACAATTTTTAAATATTTCTGGTTTTAGTTCCTCTGGTACAATACTCTGTTGCTATTTTTGATCAATTTTACCCTCCATTAGTTTTCTTCTTTAATAAATAAAGATTAGGTAAACTAAATTTCCCACTCTAAATTTTTGTAGTAGTTTTGGGGATTGGACCTGGAGTGTCCTCAGTGCTGTACCACTGAGCTGTATCGCCATTTTATTTTATATTTTGAGACAAGGTTTCACTAACTAGCCCAGGCTGGGCTCAAACTTGCTATCCTCCTGCCTCAGCCTCCAGAGTAGCTGGGACTATAAGCATGCACCACCAAACTCAGCTCTAAACACTTTTATATCACTTATTGACTCATCCATACATTCATTCATTTGACAAATGTTTTTCCTATTCCAAGGAGCTCTTCTAGATGCCTGGGTACATGAGCTAAACAAGAGACAAAATCACTGCCTCTCTTGAAACAGAAAATACATATCTTATTTTGTAAATTCTATGTAGTAGGTTAGAAGGTATCAGAAGTATGAAAAGAGATGAATCAGAGCAAAGCAATGGGACTGGGAGGGATGAGGGAGGGGCAAGCAGTGTTATACAGAGGAGTTTTTTAGGTATGACGGTTTTGACCATCCAAATACTTGGGGGACTGCTCTTCCCCAAGGGAGCCAACCAATCCTCTAGGAAAAAACTAGGAACTAGGAAGTTTAACACTCACATTTGGGGAAAAACAAGAGGCCACACACTGAGGATGACAGGGAGGGGCAGGAGAGAGATGAGGTCACAGTGAAGAGGAGAGAGGACAGCAGCACGTGACTAAGGGCCCTCCAGGCTCTAGGAAGGCCTTGGGGTTTTTCTCTGTATCATCTCTGAAGTCTTTCTGTGGTTTGAGTGGAGACATGACAGAATTTTTCTTACAACTAGAAGGATCTCTCTGGCTTCTGAGTATTAGTAAATTCTGTACAGGAGCAAAGCATAAAGCAGGAAGATCGTGCAGGAAGCTATCACATTAATTTATGGTGGGGACTGCAACAGCTGGGATGAAGATGAGAACATAGCCACATTGAGAAGGAGTAGTTTCCTGTATAGGACAGTGTTTTGAAAATACAAAAAAAAATAAATAAAATTTTAAAAAAAAACCAACAAAATCTCCTGATGAATTAGATTCAGGTTGTAAGAAAAAGAGAGACTCATAAGGCCATAATTTAAGTATTTAAAAACATTATTCTCATGTACCAGTAATAACTGCACTTACGTGCTTCTGTATTATCAGTAGGCATCTCTTACTGCCTTTGTCACATTGGATATCATATTTAGGGTAAAACCTGGGTTGTGACTCCTTCCTCTCTAATGCAAGACCAAGGCCCATTTCCCTTGCAACTACAACAGAAGTGTGTGATTCACTACCTTGCAATGAGAAGCACCTATTCAATGTCCAGCTGAAATGTGGCAACATGAGGGAAAAGAAGGTTACTCCATTTTTGCTGGTGTGTGAATGACAACAGGTATGAGGCTTTTTGGTGGTGGCAACGACAGAGGTAGTGGCTTTCCAGTGTTGCCTGCTCATGTTCCTGGCACAAAATTGTACTTGGTTGGGTGGCAGAGGTCATTTCTTCTAGCGTTCCGTGGACAGCACCAAAAGTTTTTATTAGAACTGTCCTGCAACATGCTTTTGGGTATTATTCTTAGAAACAGCCTTAAGCCTATCTTTATTTCTCCTTCGTTTTCCCACAGCTAAACTCTTATAGTTAGCTTTCTAAAATAATTTTAATAATCTCATTTCTACTTATTAAAGTCAGATTCACCTCCCTTTGCTTTAATCTAACGTCCTTGTGAAATCCAGCAACTGGAGATGGTATCTCTTTTAGTCAATTTTGTGCTGCTCTAACGAAGTACCATGGACTGCATGATTTTTAAAGAACAAGACATTTATTTTCCACAGCTGTACATGCTTGGAAGTCCAAGATCAAGGCACCAGCAGGTTGCTCTTGTTTTGAAGAGCATGAATCCCATTCGTGAAGGCTCCACCCTCACGACCTAAGTATTGGCCAAAGGACCCCCCTGCTAACATCATCACATCGGGCTTGGGATTTCAATGCATTTTAGGGGAACACAAACATTCATTTCATAGCAGGAACACTTATATTTAGTTCTATAACCATAACTAGATCTGCTATGCCTGGTCTATAAATTAATTCCAGAAGTAAAAAATCAGTACCACTTAAATTATAATTTAATCATGTAAATCTTGTCTATACAAATCCAATTAGTGTGACAAAACTAGCCTGTATAGCTTTTTTCACTTAAGCTGGGTTGTATAAAAGCCTTTCTTTGCTTTTTGTACTGTCAATGTTTATGTCATTCTTAAGATCACTTAACACCTTTAGTACAGGAATATGATCATATTTCTGGATTCTGATTTTTTTTTTCCTTAGAAACTCTGCAAAATTATCCATCCTCTGGTTCCAGTCAGGGCTAGTTGTGGAGTAAGCCTGCTCCACAGTTGATTACTGCACTTTTCTTTCTCACTTTTCTTTATTATTGTCACTCATGCTCAAATTCCTTGCCCCCCTTTTTTGTTGTTTAATTCTCTTATTTTTAAGAGTATATACTGAAAAATTTCCTAAGAAAGATAATTTGGAAGATTATTTTCTACATGTGTGTCTAAAAAGATGTTTTTACTTTGTCTCCAAAATTGGGTTTTTGGATACACAAACATGAATTATAAATAATTTCCTTCAGGACTTTGAAGGCATTATTCAATTACCTTTTAGCATCTATTTGTCTGGTTCCTTGTAATTATCATTCTTATGAATATGATATGCTGTCTGCCAACATACACACCAGAATTCTGAGATAGATATACTTACTGTATGCATTTCACAAATGAGGAAAGGAAAGCAAGAATAACACTTTGCTAAGATCATATAAATAGAAAAATAAAAGCCAGGCTGGTTCTAGAGATAGTAAGCCTTACAAACAAGTTATGCTGTTTTCCATTTACACGCAGTTGAGAAATCAGTGCTGCTTCAAAACCAACAGGAGGAGAGTGTTGCTTGTTTCCAGAACTGCAGTGGAAAAATGCCAGTGTTTCTGGAGAGGAATGTCAGGCCAGAAAGATTGGCCGGGAGGTGGAATGGTTTTAAAAGCATGGTATTTTTAACAGTATCATAAGGCCAAAGCCACTGAAAGGTTTAAGCAGAGACCTACAAGGGTACTGGACAAATAATAGGAACAATATTTCAAAATTAACCTTGACCACTGTGTTGTCAGACCCAGTAGAAACTCTTCCATCTTCACTTTACTCAAACTATTTGTACTTCCTTCTTAAAATACTATCATTTCCTGGCTTCTACCATCCCTCTTCCTCCAAGTTTACCTCTGACCTCACTGACAATTCCTTCTTAGTCTACTTTGGGGGCTCCTCCTCCATTAGTCAGTCTCTAAGTGTGGCAGTTCATTTGATGCACTTCTGCATCCATTACTCTGACTATATTTCCTCCCTCTTCCATCTCTTCCATTTCTAGAGCTATAAATGTCATCTTGCACTGAGTCCTAATTTTACTTCATTAGCCCATATTCTTCCACTGAGCTCCACATTTATTTATACAAGTGCCTTCTTGAATTTCTACTTGCATTAGAGATATCTCAAAAGTAATATGCTTAAAATGAAATCTTGATTGCTTCCTTAAAATAATTCCTTGCCCCATCTTCATACTTCTCCATTATTGTCTTTCCCTCACTGCCTATATCCAATCCATCAGCAAGTCTTGTCAATTAAATCTGCAAGATATTTCTAGAATTCATCCACCTCTCATCACCTCAGCCTAAACCTCCATCATCCTTCATCTGCACCACCACTGAAGTCTCCTCATTAGTCTCTCTGATTCTACCAGTGCCTCCCCACAACCCAGTTTCCACACAGCAGTCAGGGAAACGTTGAAACATGTGAGCCTTTGTCTGTGGCTTCACCACCTCTAAAACCCTTTCGTTTTTATTTAGAATAAAATTCAGGTCCTTCAGGTCATGCAGCTAATACTTGAAAGAGCTAAGTTTAGTATTTTTAAAAGATGACTTTAGCCAATTAGTGGAAAACAGATTGAGTGGCCATGAATGGTTACAATGCGATGCGTGAGGAAGATTTGGCAAAAATTCAGGCTCTCTCTGATGATGGCCTAGAGTATTAACAGTGACTGAATAGAAAATTGCAGAATATATATATTTATTTATATATATATATATATATATATCCTGATGCCATTGTTGTTTGTAATCTGAGGTATCTGTCATGTGTCCAAATGACCAGCTGAAAGTACAAGTCTGAATATTGCCAAAAGACAAAATTACAACATATATAATTTAAAGATTGAATTTGCTGTGTCTTGTGATTCTAGAATCGAACACCATCTCACTATAAATACAGTGAGTCTTCCAATGAGCTGGGCATAGGAGTTTAGCTTTATAGGCAGAAAAGGATAGGAGAAAAGAGAAACAGGAGAAAAAGTAGATCAGTTATTTTAGTTACCTTTCTTGTAAAAGTTGAAGTAGAGGGGACTTCCTTATTATGTCAGCTGAAACTGGCCTGTTTGTAGATTTGGCCATTCTCTCTCTTCTTCTCTTTCTCCCTCTCTTTCTGTCTCCTGAATTCTTGGAAGGTCAGATGAATAATTTAGTTTTGGCCCAGTGACAGGGAACTTCAGTATGAGTAACTCTATTTTGTCGTAGACTACTGGACCCGGTTCAATAGCTCAGTACAAACCAGTGGTCCCCTATACATTTTATTTAACAATATAGAGGTCTTACTAATTTTTGAAACATAACTATAAAAGTAGTAAATGAAGTCAGGATCATGGATAACATTGTCAAGGGAGATACAGAATCCAGATTAGTAAAATGCCATCGAACAGCGCCAACATTTTAGCGCAAGGTTTACCTTTCTGATTAATATTTTCCCCCTACACAGAGTATCCTAATTGTTGTACTCTTTGCCAGTTTAGAAGAAAAAAGGGTCATTTCATTTTAATTTGTAGGTCTTTGTTTACTTCTAAGACTATATTCATCTTTTCCATCTTCACTGATCATTGACACACATTTTCACCACCATCTGCTCCTGAGTTTATAAATTGTTCTGTAAGATTTCTGTGCACCAACAGGGAAATGTGAATAAGTATGAGTATTCTAAAACATTCAACCATAGATACATGAATCTTTTATTTAGATTTAGCAATCTAAATGATAATACAGTCAACAGATAAGACAAACACAAAATGTTAAGTGGGATGAACGTGAAGTGTGAAATTACACACTTGTAAATGATAGAGCTATTGCTAAAACTTCCTGCCTACACCTATTAATTGAAAAAACACAGCTATGCTTTTCTGAAATGAGGAACTTAGATTAAGTAAACAATATAAGAATCTTTGTAACTCCAGAATTCTGTGATCCATTTGCAATGTAATATGATCACCACACCACACAAAATCAGACACTTTACAATGGAAAAGGATGTTGGAGATGGTGTATTCTTTCATTATACTTCAAGTGCACATTTGTGCTATATTTTTTTATTGAAGTTTGGAAATGATTGTATTGATATTGTATATTATGAAGTATTTCATATTATCTAACATAATAATCACTCAATAAAATACTGAACAAAATCTCCTCTAACATATTCCATTGTGTAAAAAGGAAGAAAATTGAAACTGAGAACTAAGAACAAGATCAGTTAAATAACTGAAGAATCTGTAAGTTAGTAAATAGGACCATTAGTTCAATCTGAAAATACTGGAATAGTTTTGAGCAAAACATTTAGCCAAAGCGACTAAATAGTAGAGTATAGCACAGTATACCGTATAGCCATGCCGTACTAAGAAAAACATTTTTTTGTCTTTTGCTATATTATTATTTTCTCCCTCTTCAACCATACGCCACCTTTAACTTGAGAGACGAAATGTGAAAACAGATTAAAAAAAACCACCCCAATATTCAGCTTTTTAATTCCAAAAATAGACAGGAAATTCAATTTAAGAGCGAAGTATCTTAAGCTGTAGAGTAAATCATGTCTCAGTGAGGGAAGGATGTGTTTCCCCTGCTAAGGGGGAGCCATCTTTCTCAGATTAAGGCAGGAGCCTGGGATAAAAGTAGCAGGAGGAGGACAGTTGCAGTCAGTGTGTGGAACCTTTGGAAAATCAACGCCAAGAGAGTCAGTTGAGGAAGAGGCCTAGAATCTGGGTAAACACTGGGAGCTGTCAGGCATATAAATGTAACACCCAGTTACATTTGTATTTCAAATAAAGAACAATTTTTAAAAGTACAAGTATAAGGCACACTTATACTAAAATAGGACTTACTGTTTATCCAAAGTTCAAACTTAACTGTACACCTATATTTTTATTTATTAAATCAGAAACTATAAGGTAAGACAATTTTCTAGGCTAATATATTATTATATTCTTCTTACAGCTGAGGGAGACCTAAAAATTGGTGGCTGGAAAAATTACTGTCTATCCTAGATGAGACAACAGATCATATTTCAAATCACAATTCCTGGTTACCAGTAGATTTATTATGTGCCTTCTCTGTGTTTTAAAATTTTTAGTTCTTGTAATTGTTTCTGCTTCTAATTGCATTAAGAATCCATTTACGTTTTGTAAAATAACAAGGATGATATTGAGATATAAGTTCATATCTACCATTAGGAAAAAAACAAAAAACAGAGAACTACCTAATTTCACTGATTGACCTTTCTAAATTATAAAAAGATTAAGACATCTTAACAATGTTTTATGAGGTTTGGGCTCCTAACCTGCTAGTTACTAATTCCCAGAAAATATCTGACCTAAGGAGTCGCTGTTATTATTGAAAGCAGCTTGAAATTCATGACAAAATTATTACATAATCAATGTTTTATGTGTTGTGATGTGAGACATTGAGTGGTCACTTGCCAAAAGATTCTGTGCTGCTTTCAGTTCTCATCATTTTTTAACAAGTAGTTTAAAGAGTAACAGATTAGAAAGGCGACTAGAGTAGCCAACTGGAAAGCAAGCTGAATTCTCAACATTCCATTAGGTTTATAATATACAATAAACCTCAGGGCTACCACTTTTCACTAGCCCAGCAAATTAGCTTGTCTACATCTAGACTGGAAACAAGCCAAGAATTAAGTGTTAAAAGAAGTTAAAATGGTCTCTATTTAATCCATAATTTCTGCAGACCAGACCACACCTCTGTTAAGAATACAGAATGAGAAAGTTTGAGCACCCACCAGCTCCATGCTTGATGCGCCAAGGAATTTGACAGTGAGGGGCAAGCTCGGATGCCTCTGTGATTTATTTGGTTAAGTGCCAGTGTCCAAAATCCCTGGTATTTAAAGTTCATCCTGCTTGAGCCTTCTGCATTTTGTCCTCTTAGTGAAGATTTATGAAAAATTTGTACTCAGAACTGCTTAGATACAGGCATAATTCATTATTTGAAGAATTCAGTTTTTTGTCAAAAGAATATTTATTCAATAGAAACACAAACTTTCTACATGGTCTTGATTCTGCTCTACTACCTGTTGTATTAGAGATTTGAAGATAGGATTTGAAGACAAAACAGCAAAGCAATATCAACTGTATACAAAATGTAACATATATGTTATGTAATTAATAAACCATATGAATGCATATATTACTTATAAATTTATAAATTAAGTGGATTCATTCATTCAGTTGATATTTGCTGAATCCCTACTCTTGCCAAAGATTGTTGTAAGTACTATTTTAAAAAGACAGATGAGAAGTTTATATTCTAGTAAGGAGATGTATCTTAGATGTATCCAGTAATTGAAAAGATATAGTAACTGAGGTGAATTGTTTAGAATTAGTGGCCCTTGGGCTGAGGATTTAGCTCAGTCGCGTCATGCCTGCCTCACAAGTGCAAAGTCCTGAGTTCGATCCCCAGTACTAAAAAAAAAAGAATTAGTGGTCTTAATTAATTAGGCCTTAGTGGAAATGAAGTTACTTGGAAAATTTTAAAAGAATCTTGGCTTCATTTTTAAATAGTCTTTATATCTGTATGTGAAGCATCTTGTCATTGGCATTGAATTTGAACAATACTATGCTTTCTGCTGGCTAATATTTGTGGCTACCTGTATACTATCATATTGGTAAAATTTTAATGTAGAAGTTTTTTGTTAGTTGATTGCTCAAAGGAACTGACTCTCCTGTTTTAAGAAATCTAGACTGAGTTATCCGAATACAGTTTGAGATAGCAACTCTCTATTAGAATCTGCAGAGAACGTTAAAGATTAAAACATTAGTCCCTAGGTACTAAATATCTTTTGTTTTTCTTGGAATTATCTCAGGTAGTCACCCAGGTAAAGTACACATAAACAGTTTCTGCTTTTTGATTCAGTAGTTTAGATATGACTATCAATTCTTCTGTTGACTTCTGTTTACTTGCCAGTTTCTGCGTTTGAAAGGGGTTTCAAACCCCTTTCAAGTTACTGACTTTGTGAGAAATGAAGAACAGTCATTGCCAGTACCATCCTTTTTTCTACAATTAGTATTTCTAATCACATTAGACATATTTTCAGTATCTAGAGAGGATGCCTACTCCCTACAGCTATCATGATCCATTAACTTTAATTAAAATTTACAAGTCTAATGTTGTTACATCTGCTAAAAGCATTAAATTCTGTGTTAAGTACCAAAATGTTAATGTTGCATTAAAATAATGTTCCCTTTTGACAGTTCATCTATAGTTTATTTTGTTGGGAAATATGTTCTAAAAATTGAAAAGTGAGCAGACTACGAAGTCAAATTAGAAAAATGAGATAGAGTAGCAAAACTAAGGGGTAAACATTATGGTTCAAATGAAGGTGATCACATTATTCTGCATTTAAAGGACATACGTCCTTTGGTCTTACATGTGAAATAGTTTTTAGAATAATTCTTTTTTGCAGCTAGTTTATAGTGCAGTTCTAATATTCATGCTTTATTCCTCCATTCCCAAGTGTTTACAAAGCTACACAATCCTTTATCCATATAAATCATTTTAAAAGAAAACTTCAGCTTTCTGTGTTCATTATTTAAAGATTGATTTATTCTTTAAAACATATTTGCTCCAATAAGCTATCCAGTGTACCTTTGAGCAAATAAAATTAGTCCAAGAAAATCCTCAGTTATTTACATGGAATCAGTGAACTGCCCAATATGAATATTATGAGAGAATCTCACACCTCACTAAAAGGAATTACATATTCTTTAATAATAATAGCACTTTCTTCACATGGTCCTACTTTCTGGACATAGCCTCTAAATATGCATGTTTGTGCACCAAGTTAGTCTTTAAATGAAATGCTTGCTTCTAACACAGGAAATGTACATGGAGTTAAGCAAAATGATAATTCAGTTTATAGTTTATAGGTCACAAAGTTCTCCCCCCTTTATAGGTCAGTGTCTCCCCAGTGTCTACTGCTATGCTTGGTATGTTGTAGGCTCTCCATAAATATTTGATGGTGATGGAATGCTACTTTAAATTTTATTTTATAAAATATTGT